TCCCCCCCCCCCCCCCCTCTACCTCTCTAAGTTTGCCTGTTTTCTTCTCCCTTGAAGTTTTATCTTGGGAAATATGTCTTATGTCATTGTTCATACATTTGTACTCTCATCTTGCAGATTTGAGTACAATGCAACTTCCGAACTAGTAAAAGAAATTGACTTTGAGGAAACTGAAGGTCAGTGTTAGTTTAAGCTTTCGACATTCTCTCTGTGTTCTTCGTGTACCCTTACTTTTACTGAAATCAGTTCTAGGTTTTGTTTTGAGCATTATTTCTTCTGCCCTCAGCTAAGTATTTTTTCATGATTCTAAAGTTGTGAGATATCTTTTGAATCCCAGAAGGTGCGAGAACAAGAATTGTGCGGAAGTGAGTTGCACCTTTAGTGTAGCAGTCCGGCAACATGAACTGCTAGCGTACCACCTTGCCATTCCAAGGAGGAATCAGTTCGTATAATTTCATGTATTAAAGTGATTATCTTTCTATCGAGAATTGAACCGATTAAATTGATTTTTTCATCACGTTCAACTGGTTTTGTTTTCTCTTGTTATGCCGGCCTATTCATTTACATGGCTCGTTGCCATCATGTAAATTTCCAAGCTCTTCTTCTTTTATTTCTTTTTGTGCAACTGCAATTTAACTTGTACAAAATATGAATATATAGTCTATTGTATGTTAATTGAGCCCCATAGTCACATGAATTCAGATAATAGGTTCCTTTCATTTCGTCTGTTTATTGTGTCCTCCATTCTTTCGTTATGTCTTTCAAATATTACAATGTCAAGGAAAAGGACTCTAGATTCTTTCTCGATTATGCAAGACATCATTTCCTTTTCTTCTTCTGATAACTTCTTTGATAGAGCAAAGAAATTTTAAGTTACCAAGAATGGCGGCGGAGGCAAAGATGATGCAGTGGAAGTAATAGCAAGTATTCAGGCAACTTTTTAACTACCTTTTTAAAACACCAAACATAGAATATCCAAAGTTATTTTAGTACAAACCGGGATATCAGAAGATGGTCTCTGATTGCATAAGTTTGAATATAGCATTATCAAAAGTCAAAACAATTATCAACACATTTACAATAGCATTATTGATGTGGCTTATAATAGCACCACAACTCCCGGCATTAGTAAGATGGATTGTTTAGCAAATGTTGGATTGCCTTGTTTGTGTCGTTGTCATTCATTAGCAACGCATCTGCAGCACTATTTGATGAGAATCCCATTTCTTTCAAGTAAGTATAACCGTCAGCAAATTCCGTGACCTGAAAAAAGTATCTTCCCTCGTTCTAAAATTGCAATAATGAATTATTCAATTTATTAGACAGAGGCACTCTCTTAGTGCTATAACACAAACAACTAGTAATATTGTCTAGTTTCTTACCGCTCCTTCCATCCCAAATAAATTACTGATATACTTTTTGAGTATCAAAGATACATATCTATTACCCATAGTTTCATTAAAATAAAATTCCAGATTTTCAGACTACAAGAATCATGTAAGATGACAAAGAATATATACCTTGTTTGGATTGTCTCCATAATTTGCAACTGCAAGAGGCACAGCCTCTCTGTTGAGACCAAATGCAATGTATTTGATCATAACAGGATCTCCAGAGGATGCCTACATTCAAATTAAAGAAAACACTAAGCAAATCTCTAACAAATCAGTGTTCTGTACAGGCAAAGAAACTGAAATCACATTTAGTTTCTTTATGGCATAACACACTGTAATCTGATACCAAAAGCAGTTTCAAAAAAAGCACATAAGGGCCTTTTGACAACAGATGCAAACATATCATTCATGTGTCCTCGGCATATTCCAAGATGTCAAAGGATGGACACATTTTGAGGTACCTTTTTTCTATTATTCAAAAGCAATATTATGATTTGAAAACTTCCAAGGGAGGAATAAGATCGAACATTTTCCCCATGCATGGGTCATAGAAAGGAAGGCATGAAACTTGAAGTAAGACCTGCATTATCTGAACTTGTACCTCTATTGAGAGGAGTGTAAAACCACCCGTTAGGATATAAAATGATGTACACTATCTCAATGCTCGAGCTACTTTAACAGTAAGGTGTTAGCACCTCCATCTGTTCTTCTTCTCTAATTTATTTCCTTAGTGACAAGTCCATACAACCATTAAGATAGAAACAGCCATCAGACCCAGCTATATACTCTTTCTGACGAGCAACACATTACAGGTTCACATTAAAATGCACCTGTTTAACTTAAACTAAAAGTAAGATTAACAGAATCATCAAATGAAACTAACACCTTTGAAGCTTGGTCTGAGTCTGACCCTCTAGATGGAAGATTCTCGAGAGGTAACCTGCTCCAGATTTGGCTTTCCTTTTGATCTGCTTCAGCCAAAATCTTCTTCTCAAGGTCAAAATCAAACTGAAATGTGCATTGAGGAACGTCTCCTTGTGGAGCCAATGGGGGCTATAAGAACCAAAATAACTATGTCAGGTCCAAATATGTTCTTCAAATTCCTCATTAATCAACCAACTATTACTACATCGCGATTCGCGATCACAAACTAGTTTGGACTGGACATGCAAGGAAAATACTTCTGCACACTAAATCAATATGTGCATGACATGTCACATGTGTGTTCCAACTTCTATATAACTAAATATAGAAATTAGAGGCGGTTAATACAACAAAAATCACAGGTTTCATACCGGAGGTGTAATTTGATATTCTGGTTTTATAGCAACTCTGATGCCGATTCCGGCTACAAAATTAGACATCAACAAGTCAATATTAGCCATCGAAACAGATATTGGCTTTCAAGTACACATATAGTTATAGTGAGGGAACAATCAAAGAGGTAAGACATACTAGTGGACGATGGTGAAGGAGTGGGGTTAAAACGCCCGGGGAAGTTGCCGCCGGAGTGTTGACCGACCCGAGGGTAAAGGCTGGATGGTTGACCGTACATCGGATGGTGATGGCTGGGAAGGGGAGGAGCAGTAGTGGCCGGCCGGCCGTATTTGGGCGATTGCGTACCGTAAGACGGATCCGTTCTGTTCCTCAAATCGTATGCCATAGAAGGAAATTTGACAGCAGCTTTTTGAATTCCAGAAGGGGGACTCCTTCAATTACTTAAATAGCACGGCATCATGCTATGTTAAGGAAAAAACACTTTGTGCATTGACCTACTAACAAATATTTTACTCCTTCATAATTTGACCAACTTATGCTGAAAAAAATCATATTTGTTCTTTTATTCTTACATTTATCCATTGACATACATTCCTTTTTAAAAAAAGATATAGTTGTCTTTATTATTTAACTAGAGAACTTGATGGCGCCAATTATTAAAGAATTAATATTTTTATTTTGATCAATCTTATATTTACTCTATTATTTAATTGTAACATTATTACTTATTTTAATTGTATTATGAAAACTCCTTAATTATTTTTTATCCCCCACCCACTTTAAATCGGTTACCTATACTACACTTACACCCATTATAATGTTAAAAAAATCAAACATTTTCTATAATAAAACTTCATTTAACTTATAAATATATTTAAGATATTTTTAAAGCAACAAATAAATAAAATCTCTATATAATAAATATTTCAATTTTTTTCACCATATAGTCAATAATAAAAATATTCACACGAATCAATGAAATAATAATGCAACGTGAAATATTAAACAACAATCATCGAAAGGTAAGGAGAAGATGATTGAAAAAGACGCATTGCCTATTGTAGTTTTTATATTCTCAATTTGTTTATTAAGTGCACTATCAAAGAGCATAGCCATTGTTCCTACCTATCCGACTATCAAAGCTAAATCTCTTCTTATTTTATAGGGAAAATTGTACATAGTGACAAACTATTAATTTAAATTAAATGGTATAATCACACTTTGATTTAATTGTGTCCTGTAGCAAACTGTTTGTCAGTCGCCTCTCTCTCTCAAACTCTCGCTCGCCACTCTCCCTCTCTCGCTCGCCTCTCTCGCTTTATACAACAAAATTGTATAAATTGCGTTTCTATTTGTATAAAGCGAGAGAAAATTGTATATACACATGCAAATACATATATATTCGTCCTATACACTTATAATTATACAATAAAAATATTCCCCTGCCCAGTTCTCTTTTGTCTTTCTCTCTTTCTCGTTTTATACAACAGAATTGTATAAATTG